GAGTTGTGAGAGAGTTTGAGCATTTTTGATCATTTTTGGTGTGATTTTGCAAAGGAGAAAGTGTTTCCAACAAGGGGAGGTCAAGAGGATTGCATTTCAGTGGGTTTTCAGCTTGGGTCTTCAAGTTTGAGGTAGCTATTCGATCCTATCCTACTGTTTTGCTTAAGGGCATTGAATTTAGGGTTTTCTATACCCTTTTATGGCTTGTTTAGTTGTGTATAGTGTCCCATTGAATGCTAAACTCTAGATCTGGGCCTTTTGAGGTCCAGGGAGCCTGAACCATGCTGCTTTTTGTGGTTCTATGGAGGAAATGGACATAGGTTGCCATGTTAGAGGGGATTTCACCAAAATAAGCCTTGGAAGCATTGCATGTGTAGCAAGTTTCGACCTTTACGTGGTTATTGGTATTGGGGATGTCAGATCTATAGTTTAGAGAAACAGATCTGACCTCAGAAGGTCATTTGAGAGATGTTATGGGAGCAACTCGCCGAGTCCATAAGTGGACTCGACGAGTCGAGTCGGGTTGCCCCGCGATTCGCGACCTGTGATAACCCGTTGGGTGTAGGGTTGACTTAGTGAGTCGAGTGAGGACTAGGGGCGAAGAGGACACGCATGTACTCGTCGAGTCACACGAGTGCACTCGACGAGTCCGGTCAATGTTGACCGATTGACTTTCGTTGACTTTTAGGGTTTATTCAGTGTTTGGACTTATGAGCCATTAGAGGGGTAGAATGGTCTTTTACCCTTCTTAGAGAACTTATAGAGAGGGGTTAGCCTAGCCTTTAGAAGTTGTATTAATTAGAGTAATTATTTATATGATTAGGCGGAGGCTAGTGCAATGTTTCATAGTTCGAGGTTTACCGAGTTACCCGAGGTGAGTCTTCTCACTATACTTTACCTTGAGTGGTAATTAGAGTTATGTGACAGAGTATCTTGTATGCTATGTAAGTGATGTGTTGCACTGCATTATTTCTATGTGATTTATGTTGTGTGTATTCCAGAGTTAGGACCGGAAGGTCCACAGAGTTAGGACCAGATGGTCCACAGAGTTAGGGCCAGAGGGCCCACAGAGTTATAGCCCCGAGTGGCTAATATGTGTTATATGTGGTATTTTGGGGACCTCACTAAGCATTTATGCTTACAGTGTTTTGTGTTATGTGTTTCAGGTACCAGTGAGGATCGCGGGAAGGCGCCGACATGATCAGTACGCACTATTGGAGTTTTATACATTTTGATCTTGGGATGTGTTTTTATGAATTTGAGATGTGATACATTGAGATTGAGAATATTTGTGAATGAAATTATATTTTTAAAAGTGAAAAATTGTTTGAAAAATTACGGTGTTACAACCACAATGTCCGAATGACCCTCAGAGGTCCAGATTTAAAAGAGTCCAAGAAAAAGCGAGAAAAGATATCGAACAAGCGTTTAGAGCACTTAAAAAGAGTTAACAGATAATTGCCAAAGCATTCATGTTTCGTGATATTTCTACTATGACAGAGATGATGTATACGTGTATCATATTGCATAATATGATACTAGAACATAAAGGAAACGTGATATGTGTGTACGACGAGAATGAAGTCATCCCAGAGACACAACCACTAGAATATGTTGGTCAAGAATGGGTACAAAGAATGAGGATAATCAACAGTGCAGTAATCTCTACTGATCTTCGCCGCCATTTGACCGATCATCTTTGAACGATGGACAATCTTAATCTAAATATGCCATCGGAAGATGAATTGGAAGACCAGTTGTCGAAGGACGACCCGTTTCTTTAGTGGTTTGTTTATGAAGTGTGGTTTTTTATGTATTAAGTCGTGTTGCTATGTATTAAGTCGTGCATGTCGGTAGGCATGAGCAAACGGACCGAATCGGCCGGAACCGGCCCGACCCGGACCCGACCCGAGAACCAGCTTCGGCCAAAATCAAGAACCGAACCGGCCCGGCGGTTCTACCGGTTCCGGTTCCGGGTCCGTTTTTTGCCGGGTTTTCGATTTTGGAACCGGTCTGATTTGACACGCTTCCTTGCAGGACTTGTAACTCATTCAATTTTTAACCAAATCAAGCGTTTTTATAGTCTAAACTTAACTACAAAACCTAAACTAAGTGTAGGAAAAAGATTCAGGTCAAAAAAAACTTAAATTGAGTGAGTTATGCACATTTAAACAACAAAGTCAGATTACGTTTAATTGCTGTAACATAAAAAAATTCTGATTTGATACCTTTCCTTGCGGGACTTGTAACTCATTCAATTTTTAACCAAATCAAGCGTTTTTATAGTCTAAACTTAACTAAAAATCGTAATCTACATGTAGGAAAAAGATTCAGGTCAAAACAAGTTAAATTGAGTTAGTATGCATATTTGAACAATAAAGTTAGATTACGTTTAATTGCTGAAACATAAAAAAAAATTTGATTTGACACCCTTCCTTGCGGAGCTTGTAACTCATTCAATTTTTAACCAAATCAAGCATTTTTATAGTCTAAACTTAACTACAAATCCCAATCTACATGTAGGAAAAAGATTTAGGTCAGAACAAGTTAAATTGAGTGAGTTATGCACATTTGAACAACAAATTCAGATTACATTTAATTGTTGAAACATAAAAAAAAAAATCTGATTTGACACCCTTCCTTGCGGGGCTTGTAACTCATTCAATTTTTAACCAAATCAAGCATTTTTATAGTCTAAACTTAACTACAAATCATAATCTACACGTAGGAAAAAGATTCAGGTAAAAAAAAGTTAAATTGAGTGAGTTATGCAACTTTCAAAATTTGAGTAAGTTATCCGGTCCGGTTTCCGGTTTTGGGCCGGTTCCGATGACCAGTTCCAAAAATTGACGAAATTATATTGTCGGTCCCGGCCCGACCGGTTCCATCGGGTTCCGGTTTCGGTACCGGTTCCGGCCGGTTCCCCGGTCCATATGCTCATCCCTACATGTCGGTGTGAAGTTATGTCTGTCGTGGTTTGAATTATTAATTCGTGTTTCTAGGTATTAAATCGTGTCTGTTGGTGTTAAATTATATTTTTCATGGTTTGAATTATTAATTCATGTTTCTAGGTATTTTAAGTTTTAATTTATTGTAATTTTTTTTAATTTAATATGAAATTTTTGTGTTTTAAAAAATATAATTTATATTATATTAATTTTTTGTGGTTTAAAAAAATAAAATTTGTTCAATATTTATGCATAAAAATGTTTGTGTGATTAAATAAAGTAATTAATTAAATTAGAAAAAGAAAAAAATGGAATGGTAGGAGTATTACCAGTCTCTACCAAATACTAAGATTAGGTGTTAAATGAAGAAAAATAAGATGACACTCAAAAAACTGACATGATAAGATGTTAGGAGTATTACCGCTTCCTTAATCGTTGTGTACATGACTTATATCAATGTTAATGAAGATTAAATTTTCTAAAATAAATCCCTATTTTATTACAGTCACCAACAAAGAATTTACAGTTTTACAAGAACTTGTATACTCACCAAACAGTCACTTGGACAATGACAAGACATTGTTACAATTTCTATGAAGTGTTGTGGGTAAAGCATTTACTTCTTTGTTTCCCCACCACATATTTGCAAGTGGAAAGCTGCCCCATTCTAATTTCAGGCACCGGCAGTTGCAATGAACCAACTGCCACTGAAAAAATTGACCAATCACAGAATGACAAGTCAGCATCCTAAATACACAAGATCCAACACACCAACAGCTAAAAAGATCATGGTGTAAAGACCTTTGGTTAGAACAAACCAAATGTTTTGGGTCCCATCTCTGATAAATCCAATCATCTAGAAAAGATTGCAAAATCTAAAATATGAGAATACAATATCGTTTATTTTGTATTTTCACAACAATAATGAAAAAGTTGAGCTTTGAATATAGAAGACCAAAAGTGAGCCTTTCTTTTTTTTAAAGATTTATTAAGATGCCTCTTTTTTTTTTTTCTTTTTAAAGATTTTGTTCTTATGAAAGTATATTATTGAAACCGTAGTGCTTGACATTTTTTTGGTTTAAAATTGTTGTTTTTGATGAAGAACAATAATTGGTTAACAGAAAGTCAAAGTATCATGCTTTACAAAATAATCACTTAAGCATAAGATCTGATTTGCATAACCAAATTGTTATGAGAAACAAACCACCTTTTTGTGGACCTATATATAAAAAGTTATAATCACCAAAATGACCGTTTTCCATAAGATGTGGCGTGAAACGTGAATTACAAGATCCAGGAAAAGGTATCTTTGAAAAAATGTTTAGATGTTTAATGAAATATATGATATTTTTTGTTAAACAGGTTCAATCTTCAATAACAATATATATGTTCATGCAAACTAACCTAACTTTGACATGTTTTGTTCACATTCATGATAGTTGGCATTTTTCAACATACCATAAGTCAAAAAAACTGTATATCGAGATAAATGGCCAAAATTCATCTCATTTGTCATTGTCCATTCCCCCAAAATTGAAATCTCAAAAGTTACTCCATCCCTCATTCAAATGACCTTTAAAACATGAAAAAAAGGAACCCCAGAAAATGGGAAATCTAACTACAAGTTACTTTTCTTTTGTCTTTCCTTCAAACATGAAACTAAAATGGTAATTCATGTCTACTTAAGGTACCAAAAAGATCGGTTTAAAAGTTGCACTTTCCATAAATGGATCAATCATAATTCACATGCATATTTAGTCCTCTTGTCCGACCAGGTGCTCCTCCTTTCATCAAAGATAAATCAAGCACAATCCTGCAATCATCAAATAAAACTTCACAATAAATTAACATATTACCATAAAAATAATTTAAAATTGTCCGAAAAAATATACACATACTCCTGTTCAGCATTCTTTATGATGATCTTTTCGCTGACTTTGGTCAATGTGAAGTCCACAGGCAAGTCAAACACCTTACTTGCTGTATTCAACAATGTAACAACACCTCATCAAAACCATTTAAATTTTTTACATAAAATGACTGAAAATCACAATAACTTACCTGTTTTTGGGGTAACGTTCATGCTTTCACTAATACCCAAAAGATCCTACAAAATTATCTTTGTCAGATTCTACAACAAAATCACAAATATCGTAAAGGGCTCAAATGTCTTTTCACCTTAAGTCGTTCATAGCAAGCTTCAAGATCATCATTCACCAAAATATGATCAAAAAGATCTGGAGATTTTCCTTGTTCAAGCTCAGCCTTAGCATTTCTAAGTCTTTTCTGGATTTGTTCTTCGGTTTCTGTTCCTCTGTTGACCAAATCAAGAAACCTTTTAGTCAAATTACTTTTTTACCCCTAATATCAAGAGTAAAGTATGTTGCTAAAGATTAAAGCTCAAAACCTTGCACGAAGACGATTCTCAAGCTCCTCAAATGAAGGTGGGCGAACAAAAATAAAAACAGCTTCAAGAGAACTCGCCCTCACAGATCTTGCTCCTTGAACATCAATATCAAGTATACATCTCTACAAATATTAAAATTATTACTAATTATTATATTCGTATTTTCAAGAAAAAGATGAAATGTTTGCAGAAATACTACTGACCTTTCCAGCATCAGCAACAACATCAACAGATTCAATGCTAGTTCCATAAAGATTGCCATGGACTGCAGCAAATTCAAGAAATCTCCCGGATTTGATCTCTTCTTCCATAACACTTCGTTTTGTGAAATGATAATGCTCTCCGTTTATCTCCTTTTCTCTTGCTAAACGGGTTGTGTGGCTAACAGAAAACCCAAACATTGTTGGAAAATCTTTCATGAGCTTGTTAATTAAGGTACCCTTGCCTACACCAGATGGGCCACTAATCACCACAGGTTGCTCAGAATTACCGATAACGCCCTTGCTCCATGCAACTACTTCGGTGTCACATTTCATCTTTTGGTCACGAATGAATTGTGTGTTCACCTTTAAAATGTAAATCAAAATCAAGAAACGAGTGAAAATGTGGAATAAATGTACATATTTTTTGATGAATTTTATTATTTGAAGAAACACCCACCTCGAGGAACCAAACGCATTCGTTAGATTTGGAATTGTTTTTGATGATCAAGATTCTATCGTCATTCAAAACGACAGATGAGTGTCCTTTTAGTGACTTTGGTTTTGTCCCTAGAACAGTTGGAATCACCCTGTAAGTGACAAAAGAAAAAGAAAAAGATCTTTTAGGTTTACAAAAAACAAGATCTTCATCGCTAACACAATGAAAAAACTAGGAAGACTCACCATTCGCCTGTAGACTTGTTGAAGACACGAACTCCACTTAATGTTGGACCATCAGTGCCATTAATGACATACTGGATACGAAATTGAAATCGTGTTTATAATGGGAGAAGGTTTTAAGAAGAGGAATGGAATAGAATTGATTTAATATCATACTGTTTTGCTTCCGATAACAGTGGCTGTTTCGAAGCCTTTGAGTTTCAGATCAAATCTGTCTGAAAAACTCTTTTGCATGTCATCAACAAGGAAAGCCGGGGCTTCTCCCTAATTTCCAAAACAAAACAAAAAAGAACAAAGTTAGAGCAAATCAGCATTGGATTTTGTTAAAACGTCGTTACGAAGATTTCACTCACCATTAAACAAGTTCTTCAACAGACTAAGGATTCAACCTGATGAAAACAATTACCGATTAATTAAAATAGATCAATGTGCGAATCGTGTATTGAATGTTGGAAGGATTGATGTAAACATCAAAACCCAAAACCCAGAACCAGGGATTTACGAAACCCTAAAATGAAATGAACCAATAAATACTAGAAATACAAGCATTGAACAAAGGTAATTGAAGAGAATACAGAACCAACCGACAAAACAACGACTCTGTTTTCATTAAAAAATATAAAGAACTCATGCATATAAAACAGATATTTTCAAGAACCCACCAAAAATTAACTCGAATTAGATGAAGAAACCGCAGATTTGAATGAAATTACCTGAAGGAGAGCGATATTAATAGGATTAACAAAATCTGACGAACGAAAGCGGGTCAATAAAGGAGCAAAATTTGAGTGATCTTGTATTCGAAGTATTGAAGACGCGAGATCCCTTAATTAAAGAGAAGGTAACTTAGGGTTAGAAAAGTGAAGATGGCGGAGGAAAGAAGTGACGATGTAAGAACAGAACGTAGACAGCCATATTTGTAGAGAGAGAGGAAAAGGGTGTTTGAAGGAGAGAAGGGAGATGGTTCTTTGGTCGCATTCGGTTCAAGAAACTTGCATACCGACCCTCTTTTATTTCTTACTATTTTTCTTTTTCCCCTTTTCTACTTGTGAAATTAGATCTCTATGATCCAAAAAAAAAATCAGCTTTTCTTTTCATCTTAGAAATCTAGATTTACGTATTTGTCTTTTAATAATTTATCATAAAAATACTTATGTATTTGTCTTTTAATAATTTTAATAAAAAGATTAATATTTGTGAAAAATATAAAATATTTCTAGGCGGTTATAATATTTTATGAGGTGGTGGACAAAGAAGATTCTTTGGTGGCCCTTGGAAAAGGTTATGTGTAGAGGAGCGCCTGAGCGGTGTCGGGTAGGCCACCATGTGAGGAGGGCGATACTAGCTAGGGCCTAGTAGGGCACTTACTCTTTTCCTTGATTGTTGCTTAATTTATGTAATCTTTTTCATTTTAGTCACATTAACGAAAATAAAATACGAATAATCATCAATATATTATTATTTGTTATTCCCTTTATTTCAAATGAACTTTTCTTATTAGTTACTTTGATTA